ATCCAATACTGTACCCGCCACCCAACTCAGGGAATCTTCATCCCGTATATTTCGTCTCACAGGAGATTCTCCATCGGGATTAATGCGTAAGACTTTCTTCTTTGCGTCAGATTGCGCTTTCAGCTTCTTCTTCTCATGCGCACCACGTCTTGCCATTATTTCCTTGATTTGGGGAGACACAAAGTCTGATTCAGAAGAAGAAGAATCAGTAGAGGAAGACAAATCAGAAGAAGAAGCAAATGTAGGTCTACAATGATCAAAATTCCTTTTCTTAAAGGAATACCCGGCTGGACATACTACATTTAAAGGAAAAGGACTGGGGCTCTTCTGACCATAAGACTCGCGCGCGATAGGACACGAAGAATAGCGCGATAAATTTACGGAAGGCGATTTAGGGCTTCTTGAATCAGCTGACTTATAGCTATCCTCAGTACTCGAAGAGGAATCACTCGATATCACTATGGGCCCAGTCATTTTTAAAGAAACCTTGGGAAACAAAGAAGAACTTTGTTGAGACAATACTTGCCCGCGATTAAAACATCGCGAGGATGAACCTAATTCAAACCTACCACGAACGGAGGGGAAATGTCTGTCGTTTCCACAAGTTTTGGGACAGGGAGCAACACACTTATCAGTAGACCACACTTCCCTGATTCCCAAAGACCTTGACCTAGGTAACGATCTCGAAGGAGGACTAGACGAGCCAGATCGTTCAAAAAATCTGACAAAGTCCGTACATTTGTGATTATCAGACATAACTTGAGTACAAAGAAGGTACACTACCAAACTAGAGATACACACAAAATAGAAAAAGTAAAGGAAGAAGATGAACACACCTGAGATTTATACTTCGGATTAGCAACACCACTAGCAGGACGTGTTAACACCGGAAATGCAAAAAATGAGCATTGAGGAGCAGATAATTTCTCACAAAAACAACCCACGCTTTCAGTAGTTTTCCCTCCAAAGCAAAGGCTCGGTACAAATACGAAAGGTTTTTCTCAAAATGGATAGTCTGAAGGGCACCAAAACGTGTTGTGTTAAACGGATTTGATGGGACACGTGGCAGGAAGAGGAAGCTTTTTCACTTCAGAAACCACCCACGCTTACCCCTAAACACCCACGTAACAGCACTAGCATTTAATGCTTCTGACATTTAAACGTCTAATCCACGGTTCTTAAGCGGCTAATACTCATGAGGACACTTTAACATGATTACCGCGACACACAAGAAGGACATATGCGTTACAAACTACCGCGCTTCTAAACAGCAAATAGCTCGCAGCTTTGCCACATGACAAAACCACCAGCTAGGAGGCAACTGATCCGGATAAAATATAGGCCCAATGGAGACCCAATGACATACGAAAAAGCCCAACCCACCAAGGATCCAGAGCAAGCGCGACATACAACTATCGCGAGTAAGCCGCAATGCCCTCATCGCGACAGACAAGCCGCGATAACCATATCGCGGATGAAACCCCATCAAGTAAGCAAACTTAACGTCCAAGGCAATCCCACCGCGCCTTTATGCCAATAAGCAACGGACAGCTCCAGCTTACCGCGACTCTACAACTAGACACTAATAAAGATAAGGCAACTCAGATCCTAGTACTGACCTGCAACCTAAACTTGGCCAATCAGAAGCCAAGCTGCCTTGCTAAGGTGGCATCATAACTACTATATAAACAAAGGGTTCAACACCCAGGTACGATCATCCTTTACATTTAACAACATACATCACCTGCCTTTGATACGAACTTAAGCATCGGAGTGTCTTCGCAGGTACTCCTCAGTCAGACTTAACGCGCTACCGCAAAGGGTAGATACGCAGTTTGATCCCATCCTGACTGAAGGCCCAAGACCAAGCACTAAAACCCATATCCCAACCGTGTGTGATCAGGCTTGATACAGTTTGGCCAGCCCACTCCATATCTGGTCTGACCAACTATCTTCTCCCGTGAGAACATAGTGCAATTTACAAAAATTTATAAAAAAAATTTGTAAACGAATCATTCCTCATATATATATATATATATATATATATATATATATATATATATATATATATATATATATATAGTTAGCAATATATGTGATATTTTCAACGGGCTGTGAACCACAAAAGACTCAATTCTGTATAGCCTCAATCATTTCGCCATTTGTCGCTTCAATATGATTCATTTTGCTTGAAAAGTGAAAACCAACCACGACTTTAAGAAAGAATTTTAAGAATGAATGTGAACGAACTTCTTCTGGATTGGTCCAAATGGAAGAAACACTAACTCTCTTGAAACCATGTCTAAGTTTTATTTTTATTTTTTTTAGATAGTGATGTTGTTGTTTATGTTAGGCAAATCCTATGACTTGGAGTTGGACCCATCTTTTTCGGTTGAATCAGTCAATATCAAAACGACAACTACTTAAAACCTGTCTTTAATTATATGCATGTCTTTGTTGGACCATTGCCACAACGACATATACTCATTCAATTCAAGGAATCTTCTGCTATCGATGTCATAGTTATAGAAGTTGAGCTTCAATTATCCTCTCCATCTTTCTTCTTGGTTCAAGAAATGGTGCATGCTTTTATGTCAGTATGCATTATAGCATCTTGGTCAAAATTCAAGCCCTCCCTTTCTATCCCCCTCCTTTCTGTTGTCTCTCAAAAGCATGCTTCATGATTTCACTAAAAGATTTGAGTTAATATCTCGAACTTGAGGAACATTCATTTGATTACGTTGTGTATTCTATTTTGTAGCTAATATAAGATTATTTTATTATAAGAATTAATGCTCTCACTAAGTGACAAGTAGGGATGGCAAAACGGGCCAACCCGACTCGACCCAACCCAACCCAACTTGTTTGTAACGCGAAAAAAATTAGTCAAATTAGGATTGGCTCGATAAAAAAAAAAAATGAAGCAGAAAACCCGACCTGAGCTAAGTTAGGGTTGGCTCGAAAAAATGAGGGGAAAAAATAGCCTAAAAAATAAAAATACATGATAATTGAAGTAAGATAAAAAAAAATATTAGAGCTTAAAAAAATGAATATGATATAAGATAATTAAAATTGCTAATCATAAACTTACATAAAAAAAAAGTTTTTACTTTTTTTGAACAGATTTGGCCCCCTTATTATTTTTAATTTTTTAATAAAAAAAAAAATAACCTGCGAGCTAATCCGTTTGACCCATGAATTGGCTCGATTTTTTTCGATTGACTCAAATTGTCAGCTCATTTTTACCAACTTAACTCGACTCATTTTATGCAGATTACGAGCCAACTTAATGGATTGGCTCATTTTTGCCTAGTGACTAGGGGTGTAAATGGACTGGGCTAGGCTTGGCTTTGGCTTAAATAAGCTAGGCATGTGTAAAAAATATTGGATCTGACCTAGCCTGCTAGCCTATATAGGCCCCAAATTACAACTCTGGCCTGACCTATATTTAAAAAACAAAAAGCTTTGGCCTAGGCCTGTTAGCCTGTTTAAGCCTATTAAACATTCAGCAATTAAAAGAATAACTAAAATAATATTATTTTATTATTCAAAATATCTAAAATAATAATTTTCTTTATTTTTTAAAATAAATAATATCATATAAGCCAACCTGTAGGTTTATAGGCCCGACATTTACAAAAAAACCTATGGCCTGTTTTCTAAATAGGTTTTTTTTAAAAGCCTTGGCCTATTCTATTTTATTAGTTGTAATAGGTCAAGTCTGACCTAATATAGGCTAGGCCGGCTAGCTCATTTACACCTGACAAGTGTACGTTGACATTTTGGCTTGGAAGAGTGTTTAGCATGTTGAAATGTAGCATAATTGGATGGGACAACCCTGATCTAGAAGCTAGCTTAAGGATCTCTTATAATTCATCATTCTTTCTCTAATACTTCTAACGTGGGGTTTTCTAATTTCACACACTCACTCAACTCCATTCTATATTTCCAACACTCCCCTTACATGTGTGACTGTGAGTGTCTCGTTTTCAGATTTTGTGTCATTTTTCACTTTTCGTAGACATTTTTTTTTTCGCAATTGGGGTACCTGGACTACACTTAGTAGGCTACTATTAGAATATCCATTTATCCTCAACTTTGATCATGGCTGAAGCAAATCATAACTTTGATTTGTTGGTATTTGGGATTAGAGGATTTGGGTTGACATGGTTGAAGTGTAGCATATTTGGACGGAACCAACATGATCCAAAAGTTAGTTTAGGAACTGGGCCCATTCAAACCTTATAAATCACCATTCTTTCTCTCATTCTTCTCATGTAAGGTCTTCTTACTTCATACACGTGCACTTCAACCTGTTTCCAACATCAAAGTTACAAAAGCAAATCCGCAATACATTTTCAGTTCATATGAAGTCAAATTTCTTTAGAGAATATTTGACCTAAGTTCAAATTTTACCGACTCTGTTTTGCCTCCACTTTGATTTATTCTTCCTCTGCACATAAAATTATGAACTTATTTTGTTACAATAACCTTTTATTAACATAAATCAATTCTTAGGATTTAGTGTAAAATTTTAAAATTTAATACTGGTGTCAAAGAATCATATCTCATATATATATATACGTCATACTAAAAATTTGACACTAAATCTTAACCGTTAATTTTCATGAATCTAACGGTTATAATTTATTAAATCACACTTATTAATTAATTATATATATATATATATATATATATATAATGAAAATTAGGGCTGGGGAAGGGAAATTTCCAACTATTTGAAAGGAAAAATAATAAAAAGAATTAAACTAACAAAATTTGAAAGTTTAAACGAAATTCCATGGACTAAATTTTCTTATAATCATTTTTTATTAATTGCTTTGAAATTTCACTAAAAACAAATATCAGTAGGCACGGGAGAATTGGTTCATATGTAAATATTTATGAGTGGCTTAGACACTTGGTTGTAAAGCATCCATTGGAATTGGAAAATTGGGCACCAACAATGATTATGAAACTAGGCTTTAGGCTATAATAATAATGTTTTTGCATGCAATAGGAGGACTGATGGCATAAAAGAAGGGGAGAAGGGGACGAGGATTGCGCAGAAATGAAACACGTGAAAATAAAGGAAAGGCTGAGAGAAAGAGTCTTATGAGTTTTGGATTTGTCTTAATCAAGGAATTGTATTATGGGCCCACGAGTACTTGATTCGAGAATAAATAACGCAGCTCATTTAGCATGCCATATCCACACATGCAAGTACAGCATTACTTTTGGAGTCCTAAGTATTTCAGCTTCCAATAGTTAAATGACTTTTTTCCCTTCATATTTTGGGTCTAGAACTGATTATAAAATCAGTTACTTTTAAGTTGTTGCAGTTAAATCTGTCTTTCCAATTTTAGCGGTGGCATAAATGAGTTACGCATCTCCCAACAGTCAAGTTTTCTTTTTTGCGTCACGTTGGATTCGAAAGCAGTGTAGGGAAAACTATAAGGCATACTTTCCTTGATACTACCTAATAATCATTCGTTGAGTCTTCACTTTCCTCTGGTTTCACAAAGAATTCAATATGAGCTATTCGACTTGGTTGCTGATAGCCTGCAGAATCAACATATGGCACAGATGGTTTGGCAATTGACACCAAATGCTGAACTTTTAACATTCCACCTCTCCCAATGCTTAACTTGCTTCCTCTATTTTCTTTAATAACACTGCTAGGCATATTAGAAGTTGTTGCTCTGAGAAACTTATATTTGTACCTGTTAACAACATGCAAAGAAATGACAGATGACTCGATGGCATGGAAATGGTACTTCACATGTAAAAAATTTAAAAAAAAATATTAATACTTGAAAGAAACCCGATGATCACACTGAAATGCTACCAAGAGATCGGAATTCACATAATACATGAAGTCTATCTGAAAAAAGATAAAAATCGAGTGAATATAATGGATTCAAATTTCAAACCAACAACCAGCATGCGACCATTTATGAGTTGAAACTTGAAAGCAATACAAACCTGCAAGTCTCCATGTCCTTCAGCTCTCAATGTAACAGAAGGAGGATCTGGCTCTAGAATAATCTGGATGCTTGATCCTGGCCATTCAAGATCTTCAATAGCTTCCTTTAGTGCTGCAGACTAGGTATAGATCAACAATCAAAATATCAGTTAACAATACAGAAAAAGCAATGTTTGTGATGGACCTTCAATAAAATATCCAAGTCCATTAGTTAACATTAGTAAGCAATTAGTATATATAGATGTTTAGGATTGAGTTTGTTAGGCTGAATATCATTTTGTAATTTGGAGATTAGGTTGGGGAATTTGTAGAGAAAATAGGGAAGCTCTCAAGGCCAGGGATGTTGTCTTGCAGTGGAGTTTTTCCTCTTGGTATTTGTATCTCTGTTATACTGTTCTGTTGTTTTTGTATCTCTGTTATATTTGTGTCTCTGTTTAATTACTGTTTAATCAATATCAGTGTTATAATTTTCTGGTTCCATTAATTTGGTATCAGAGCACTTCCGATCTAGGGGTGCTTCTGGTCCAGGTCTAAAAAAAAATGGAGAACAGATTGGATGTTGTGGAGCGTCACATGGATCGATTGGAAAGAAGCATGGATCGAGCGGAAGAAGGAGTGAGAAGGGTGGAAGAAGCTGTACGTCAATTGTGGGAAACAATTCTGAGATTTCAGGATGTAATGGGTTAGCGCGACACAAGAACTGATAGTGGAAATCTGAATGGAGCGTGCGAAGAAGGAAAAGAAAAAGAAACAGTCACAGTTGCTGAAAAGAAAGAAAAAGAAGAAGAAAACGCTGAAGTAATGGACGAGAAAGAAGACGACGCAGAAACAGGAGACGAAGAAGATGAAACAGATCCAAAAGCGAAGGAAAATATCGTTGCAGAAGATCAGGAAGCTGTAGAAGAAAGAGGGGACAGATCAGAAAAAACAAAAGAAGAAAAAAAATGAAAATGCAGCAACGGTTGCAAAAACCGAACAAGATAAAAAAGAGGAATACACAGCAGTGGCAGAAGAAATTGGAGAAGACAAAAAGGACTGTGAGGCACAGAAAGAGGAAGAAGATAGAAAGGAAAAAGAAAAAGATGAAAAAGAAGAAGAAAAAGTAAAACAAGATGAAGAACCACAGAAAGGAGACAACACTGAAAGGAAAGACGAAGAAGCAGATGAAAAGAAAATAAGGATTCGGGTCGGGTTCTCTGCTGGATGGGACGAAAATAGGGCAGCTAATGTGGGTGGGTATTTTAATAGGCCAGCATTTACAAATTGGGTCGTTACTAGTGCAATAAAATGGCCCATTATGATAGGTAATAAAGTGCAGATTGGGCCAATTGGTTTTGGTCCAAGAAACATTACTCAACTTGGAAGGGGTATTTGTAACATGGTAACTATGACGGTTGGAGAAAGTGGGCCACATCATACGGCCCAAAGTGTTCTAAATGAAGGTATGAATAAACAAGGCAGCCCAACATTTTTAGAAAAAAAGAGGGAAATCGATCACGACTCTGGGGAGCAACGGGGAACATCACTAAATGAACCCCAACGGTGGCAAATGGTAGATCTAACCCAAATGGGAAGGGAGGAATAGAGTCGACAGCGAATAGTACATGGAAACACTACGTTGTGGTAGGGGATGGCTACAAGGTTCAAAGTCCTAGGGTGTACAAAGAAGAACAGTTAAATATGCCAAGTATGCCTACAGACCAAGAGTTTCTCATCTCTTTACACGGGAAACCAGCGAACCAGAGGTTCGACTATGTTGAGGGTTTTGAGATAAGGGATGAAGGGCTCATCAATAATTGGAGGTTTGAAAGAGAGGGTGAACCCTCTGGGCTTGCTGCTGTTGATTTCTTTGTCAGTACATTTGATCCTGTTGAGATATATAGTCCCACATTGGTTGTATGTGCAACTAATGTGGAGTTTATAAGGTCTTGGGCACTCCCACCCTTTGAACTAGCTTTTGGGGTGGTGTATCCCAAGGTTCTTTACATGGTATCAGAGTCTCGCCGCCCCCCACTTTCTTATGTGGCGTTTCTTAGCACAGGTAGGCTGGGCCTGTTGCATTGTCCACTCTTCAAGCTCAATGGGCTCTCGTGTGAGGGGGCGTGTTGAGATATATAGTCCCACATTGGTTGTATGTGCAACTAATGTGGAGTTTATAAGGTCTTGGGCACTCCCACCCTTTGAGCTAGCTTTTGGGGTGGTGTATCCCAAGGTTCTTTACAGATCCTTTGACCACCATTGATCACAACTAACATAGTGCTTTCTATCGTTGCGGTTGACTACCTAGTGGACAAAATATCCTGTTATGTGTCAGTTGAGGGTGCTGCAAAGCTGATGCAACCTAGCCCAACCAACCCAAGCCCAATCAGGTATACAAGAGGGACAAGAATAGGAGAGTATGGATTACAAATGAGGCTGCTGATCAAGGCCCAATCAACAAAGGCCCTGCTGCTCCTGATGCTGACTCAGTCATTCCGTTGTGACCGAATGAGGGAACGCAATAGAACATGAGTGGGAAGGATAAATGGAGGCTGGTGATGTGAGAGAGGATTATCTAGAACCTGAATTGAGAACCTGAACCTTAGGAGAGAGTGGAGCCTCTCCAATTGCTTCACAACTATCCTTTACTTTTCTGCTTGTAATTTCCATTTTAGTATTTCCATTTGGTTAAATTTGTAATGAAGGAGCTAAATCATATGACTTTGTAATTTCCCTGTTATTTGATATTATTGCTGAACTTGGTGAATTGGTCATTGTAATCTTGTTTCTAGTCCATTTATATTCAGTTTAGTTATCTTTGGTGTAATTGTTATATTAGTTTTAGTGTGATTGTGAACTGGTCCGTATCAAACTGGTATCAGAGCTCCGATCTAGGAGCTCTGTGGGATGGTCGTCACTAGAAACATAGAAAACCGTGATGAGGCTATGGAGGAGAGGCTGCGCAGGACAGAAGCTCAGAATGTTGAAATACTAAGGAGGATGGAAAATAGCGAAACAGGAGTGGTAGAAATCCTTCAAAGACTGGACCATATGGCAAGACCCAGGGGGAGTGGTTCTCATGAAGAGAACGACGGTTCTAACAGGGAGACAACCGGACCGCAGGGACGGAGATTTAATCCGGTGATTTCAACGACCAGGCGTTTAGAAATACCCTTGTTCCATGGAGAGGACGCGTATGGGTGGATAAACAAGGTTGAAAGGTATTTCAATATCAATGGGTTAGCCGATGAAGACAAGATAGCTGCAGTAATGGTGACGTTGGAGGGGGAAGTCTTACAATGGTACCTGTGGTGGGAAATCAACAACCCCAACGCGGGTTGGGAGTTTTTCCGGCGAGAAGTCTTGAGCAGGTTCCAACCTAAAGCTCTAGACAACCCTTATAGGGCTCTGTACTCATTAAAACAGATGGGGACGATGGCGGAGTTCCGATGTGAGTTTGAGAAGGTTATTGGTGCGTTGCGTTTCGAGGATGAAGAGCTTTTGAAAGGAGCATGGCTTAATGGCGTCCGATGTAGTGTTCGTGAAGACCTGATGATGACTCCCAACATCATCTTCTCGGAGATGATGAAGTATTCTCTGAAAATAGAGAAGAGGAACTGTTGAGATATATAGTCTCACATTGGTTGTATGTGCAACTAATGTGGAGTTTATAAGGTCTTGGGCACTCCCACCCTTTGAACTAGCTTTTGGGGTGGTGTATCCCAAGGTTCTTTACATGGTATCAGAGCTCTTTCGTTCTGGGAACCCTCGCTTCCGCTTAGAAACCTTGATTTTTGCTTTAAAACCTAAGCCCACTGCTTAGGAGTCCTCTTTCTTGCCGTGCGTCCTTCCGGCAAGCCTTCTAGGGCTGTAAACAGCCTCTGAGTGATTTTTCCAAACGCGTCAGCACCTCCGACGGCCACCGGAACCACCGCCCGCCATCAGAATCACTGTTCAGGCAACCGGAGACTTTTTCTGGCGACTTTTCCGACCAAACTTCACGCAATCAGGACCCTCTCTTCCCGGCGACCAGGTCTGTGGTGGTCCGGTCAGCAACGCATCTCCCACGCGCCGTCACGCGCCGTCTGTCTTCTCTGCGCGTGGGCTTCACGCGCCACCTTCTGCCGGCGCGTGAGCACTATTCCGGCGGCTTTTTCCGGCCGGTCTTGAACAGAGAAGCTCGCCTTCTCCTCCCCTTTCTGGATCTGTGATTGTTTCTCTGTGGGTCTGACCTTAGACGCGTGGTTCTTCTTGATTGGATATTGTTTGCCTTCGTTTACGGCTTTTATATTTTATCTTTAAATGGCAGCAGCATCTCCTGATCTCTCGGAGGTTAACTCTCCTTCTATTGTTGCAAATATAGCTCAGTCAGACAATGCATCATTTGGTTCAGGTTCGGACTATGCTGCACTCTAAACCCCTCTCAGGAAGGCTTCTCCTCAGTCTCAGCCTTATACTGGTAATCCTGTTGCTTGTGTTTCTCATTCTACATCACTTAGCACTTGGATATTTGACTCTGGTGCTACCGATCATCTCTGTGGTAATAAGGAACTCTTTACATTTCTTACTTATTCTGATCATTTACCGTCTTTTACCCTTGCGGATGGAACCAAAGCCCCAGTTCGTGGGATTGGACAAGCTCGTCCGACCTCTACCTTGGCCCTGATATCTGTCCATTACATTCCTGGCATCCCTTATAACTTAATTTCTATTAGTAAGTTGATCCACTCCCTCACTTGCACCATTACTTTCTCTAACCATTCTGTTTCTGTGCAGGATCCGGGTACGGGGAAAATGATTGGAGTGGGTCGTGAGTCACGGGGGCTTTATTATCTGGATGTGCCTCGTCCTTCAGTAGCATGCTCTCTCACAGAATCTCCACAACTTATCCACAGTCGCCTTGGTCATCCAAGTCTTTCAAAGTTGCAGAAAATGGTTCCTCTTTTGTCCGGTCTTCAGTCTTTAGATTGTGTGTCATGTCAACAAGGGAAGCATACACGCTCCTCTTTTGCCAGTCGAGTCAATAAACGAGCTGATGCCCCTTTCTCTCTTGTTCATTCAGATATCTGGGGTCCAAGTCGTACCCTGTCTGTCTTAGGTTTTCGGTATTTTGTTACCTTTATTGATGATTTTTCCCGTT